TGGGTAATGATTTTTATGTGTGTTTGCAGTATAATTATTTGCTAAAGTGTTAATTCATAGAGAAATAAATCTACTCACAATCATAAGTGGTGTTAGTATATAGACATGGCTATTTTGTTTTATTAATCTAAATCCAAATCACCAAGTTTTTATCTTACTGGACTCATATAAGTACTGTGCGCTAATTGATTGTGCCACTGGAGCTCCATTTACTGGACTCATAAAAAGATGAATAATACTTTGTCAAATACATGTTCATTGTGGGTACTACTTCCTTAAGCCTAAAAGTTCATCTCTTTAGCAATGAACCATTTGTTTCAGCTCATTCATTGCCAGGTGTGAACTCCATACTTTTGACTTTTAAGAACCTCTTCTAACTCACTCATAATTGATAAATGTATATCATTTCTTCTGTCTTCCCTTGGACTTTTCTTAGTTCAGTTAAGTAGAATTGCCTTATCTTCTTTGTTTTTCTTTTTTCTTGGCAGCCAGTATCTCAATTTTATTCTTTCAGTAATCTTATTAAAGGTCTTCCTAGTTATAGGATAGACATTTGAATACTCTAGTCCTTTCCCTTTTGCACCACCTGTCTGGACTATTTTATCCATTTATATGGAAAGAATGAAATGATTAATGGGTGATACACTTCATTGGTGTGATTTGTTTAATTAGTGAGGTTAGAAACTACCTAATCAACTTCCCTGCCCACCAAGTGAGGGGCATTTTACTATTGGATATAATTTTTACTTGAAGGACTGGCATTCCTCCTTCATCTTTCCCTCCTCCCTCTTTTTGTTAGTTCTTAATTTTCTTGAAATGTTGAACCTTCTATTTAGGTTTTGTTTTTGCTATGGTTTCTTTTCAAAGAACTTATGCAGTTTTTTAAAGTATTTTAATTATTAAAATTTCCATTTTAATCAAGGAAAATCTTATCTTTCAGAATATCTTAAAGTGAGGTCACATGACCCTGAGGAAGCTATTAGACATGATGTTATTGTGTCTATAGTTACGGCTGCTAAAAAGGATATACTTTTGGTCAATGATCACTTACTTAATTTTGTGAGAGAGCGAACATTAGACAAACGGGTAAGTAGGAATAAGTAATTATTGGAATTATTAATAGGATATTATTTTTCACACTTGAAGCTTAATAGTATTTCATTTGAAAATACTGATTTTCTTCCTAAATGCAGTAATTATAAATTGATACTCGGTACCTGAGTATTGAAGAAAAAGTATTGTAAATAGTGAATAGAAATGAAAAACTAGAAACTATACTGAATTTATATGATGGAAATGTTTTTACATTATAGAGAAAGACTTTACTATATAAAATGAAGGGAAATGAAAAACTAGAAATTTATGTAATGGAAGCATTTTTACTTTATAAAGAAAACTTTTTCTTGTTTTCATTTTAAGTGGAGAGTGCGTAAAGAGGCCATGATGGGACTTGCCCAAATTTATAAGAAGTATGCTTTACAATCAGCAGCTGGAAAAGATGCTGCAAAACAGATATCATGGATCAAGGACAAATTGCTACATATATATTATCAAAATAGTATTGATGATCGGTAAGTTTAGAACACTGCGTGTGTGTGTATGCATGTATTCATGCATATATGAGGTACTTAGTGATTTTGGTTATGATACAACTTTCTGATCTGTTTTTGTGAGCAAACTACTTTCTTTATCACTTTAAACTCCCTCCTCTGTTTTTACTACAGGGTAAATGGAGTGAGTAGTTTCCTTCATACCAAAGACACGAAAAGCAATAATGTATATATAACATTAAGGATGGGTACACTTTTATATTCATTTTCTTACACTGTTTTTGAACAGAGTTGTATCTAAAAGTAGGAATGTATATAGTTCTAATTTTAATTGTTATAAAGATTATTAATTTTTTCAAATACAATTCAAATAAAAGCAAACCCTTAGATTATAGACATTTGAAATAAAAACGATTTCCACTTAAGACTAAAAACAGTTTATAATTGATTATATGTGTAGTAGGTCATAGTGGGAAAAGAGGCAATAGATTATCTTAAAAGTTTAAATGTATAGAAACTGAGTATATTGGGTTAACATTGTCTAAGAAACTATAATTTTTTTTGTTTTTTTTTTTTTTTTT